TCCAGGGAAAGTTAATTAAGTATCATTTCCACCCAGGCTTATCAAATTTGTTAGCCATGACTAAATGCACTAAGAGGAGTCTGCATCTGTCTTTGAAGTGAGCATGAATTGCCACAGCTATAGCATCTACAATGCTGTCTATGCAGTGGCACATGCTTTGCAGTCAATGCAGCCATCCAGCATCAGGCAAAGAAAAATGGCAGATGGAGGAAGGAAAAAAATTCACACATGGGAAGCATGGCAGGTAATGCATAAGACAGATTGGTGATCTTACCCCTGTTGGAGATTGCAGTATCCATCAGCAACCAGACTAGAAGGAAGGTCCCAACAGAAGTATCTGGTTTAGGAAAGCTTTCCAGCTTTTTCCTTCACTTGCAGTATTTTTAGTTCTTTCCTTTCTAAATATGGCATCTGAAATGTGAATATTTTTAAAAAGCAAGCAGAGAAGCAAACTGAAATTAAAAGTTCTCCTCTCTCGTGAGCAGAGCCCGATGGAGCCGGGAGTCAGACTAGATGGCAAAGGAGACCCCTTCTGACTTGCTCTGTTTCTATGTATCTATGTCTATGTTCTAATGTCATCTGTCATTTTGAATTTAGATCAGTATTTGCAAGATTGAGATGATCTTTCTATTTGGTCCTTCTAAGTGCCATCAAGTTGTTGCCAAACTACAATGTACAGAATATGGGTTTCCTAAGCTAAGCAATGTAGTATGTGAAAAGAAAGAACCTGACAAGAATATCTACAAGGGGACTCTATCTCCGCATCAGCTATTCTCCTCTGCCTCCTTCCATTTTGTTTTTAATATTCCTTAGTGCAAAGCCAGAATGGATCTTGTCTTGATTTGATCTCTTAGGTCTCTTGTTGCTGGCATTGCTCAGTAATTTGCTTATTGTGATAAAATGCAGCATTGTAAGTGCGTATTCACAAAACAATATCAGAAGTAGCCTGAAGGAAGCCAGTCACCCAGGTAATCAAAGCCTCTGAACCTCAGTCCATTGTTTTATTGCATGATTGTAAACATAACTCTACAAACATTTGTGTCCTTCTTCCATCCCCATTTAGCTCCTCCGTTTTCTCAGAAGTGTCTGTTTCAACAACACTGCAGGGGATAAGATTTCCTTTGACAGATATGGGGAACTGATAGCTGGATTTGATATTATCAACTGGGTGACATTCCCCAACCAGTCTTTTCTCAGAGTCAGAGTTGGCAGAATTGACCCCTGGGCCCCTGCAGACAAGGTGTTCAGAATTGAAGAGGATTCCATCACCTGGCCTAGCTTCAGTAGGGCCTAATTCCATGTGCAAATACCTCTCCATTCATTTCACCAAAGCAAGCAGAAGGAGTGATGCTGTCTTGATACAGATCTGACATTACAGCCCTCTGGCTATCTCTGGAGTGGACCACCTTCTGTGGTTCTTGAAATAACCTGTAATTGTGTCACAATGTTTGTTCTAAATGAAAACAGAAGGACTTTAAGACCTTCTACTGGGCATCAACATGTGTTTAAAAACAAGGATTTTCCCCCACTTTATACTAGCTTCAGGTACCATTCTATGTTCAGTTATTTCTGATCTTCATGCCCCCTCAGTTTTTGATACCAGGGGAGGTGAGACCTCAGGGATGACCAACACGTGGCCAAAGGTCCACCTTATCACTTCACCGCAGTAGATGTTTTTCAAAAGAGTCTACCTTTGTTTTGCCATGTGGAAGGCATGTTCTCAAACAGGAGCACATCCATGTCTCCCCTACTTTCAATGAGCCCACAAGATCACTCCCCTTTCACTTGTTGTGCATTGTGTTATGGCTGGGAGGGGCACATTCCCAGTAGGATTTGCCCACCCAAAGTCATAGGCATGGCTCTTATTTCAGAAGGCAAAAACTGTAGGGCTATGCTCCCAATGCAGCTCTCCCAAGGACCACAGCTTACCTGTAGTCCTAACCCAGGAAGAACAGTTGTGATTAAGTGAATACTTTCATGGAAATATAGAGCACAGATCTAAAATTTGCATGTAGTTTGATATGGGAACGAACTCCCATAATGGGGGAGGTTGTGACAGCCTTTCCATATTTAGAACCCTTAGGAAATAACACCACTGTGGTTTCTGTGAGGACAGCTGTCAGCAGGGTTTACAAGAGAAGATGTTTTAGCAAACTGAACTCACAAAACAGAATGGAGTAAAAGCTGAGATGTTCCCCTTGCTAACTGACCAACAGGTGCAGCCACTTTCTTTGTGTAATTCCTATTGCAATGAAGGGTTCAGCAAGAAAAAAAAGGAAGGGAAGCCATTTTGCTGCTACAATTGCTTTCCCTGTCCAGAAGGCAAGATTTCCAGCATGAAGGGTAAGAGGGACCATGCATGGAGGACTTTGTGGTGTTTTGTTTTAAAGTGGATAGGCAGAGATGCAGCACATGTTTGGGCCTGCGTGAACACCATACCTCTTGTGTCTCAGAATGTTTCCCATAGGGATTTGTGAGGCATCTGCCCAGTGGTGGGCATGGCTTGGATACCCTGGGCTCCTGGGACTCCCACCCTCTTTGCAATAGCCCAGGCTCCGAGTTACTGGGAAATGTGCCCAACATTTATGGGGCACCTGCCAGGAATTGAGCCCCATGTACTGCACAATCCACATGCTCTCATCCACCAGGAGGTCCTGCCACTTGAGCAGAACTGGTCCTGAAGAAGGCTGGTCATGGAGAGTTTGCAAGCAATGTGGCCCCAGCAACCTCCAGGAAAGTGGCATTCCTCTTCTGGGCCACATACAGCCACCTTCTGGGAAGCTGCAGCTGATGTGGAAGAAGGTTGCTGCTTGCGCAAGTGGGGGTCATGCACAGCTCAACTAGTTTAGTGAAACCAAGCTAAGCACCAAGGGGAAGTTCTGAATTCTTGGAAAAGAACATCAGTGTAGGTTTTAGCTCCTTTGCCACTCCCTTCCTCACAGCTATATAAGCCAGGGGCTTGATTTCCATAATCCACCACCAGCATGGCCTGCCAAATTTAGAAGGCCCTCATTTATTTTTCAGACATGGATGATTGTTCTCAATGTCCAGAAGATCATTATGCAAACCAGAGAAAAGACTCCTGCATTCCAAAGGCTATAACTTTCTTGTCCTATGAGGAACCTTTGGGGGTCATTTTGGCCAGATTTGCTCTTTCTTTTTCTTTTCTCACACTTTTCGTATTTGGAATATTCATCAAGCATCAGGAGACTCCCATAGTCAAAGCCAACAATGGGAATCTCACCTACATACTCCTCATTGCCCTACTGCTCTCCTTTCTTTGTGTTTTCCTGTTTATTGGTCGACCTGACAAGCTGACCTGTCTCTTTCGACAAACTGCTTTTGGCATCATCTTCTCAGTGCCAGTTTCATGTGTGTTGGCCAAAACCGTCATCATGGTCCTGGCATTCATGGCCACCAAGCCAGGGTCCAGGATGAGGAAATGGGTGGGGAAAAGCATGTCAAGCTCCATTGTTTTGTCTTGCTCTCTTATTCAAGCCAGTATTTGTGCTGTGTGGCTCACAACCTCTTCCCCATTCCCAGCTTTTGACATGAATTCAACGGCTGACAAGATAGTCCTGGAATGTAATGAAGGGTCCGTCACCATGTTCTTCTGTGTCCTGGGCTTTATGGGTTTCTTGGCCATTGTCAGCTTTTGTGTGGCTTTCCTAGCCAGGACGTTACCAGATAGTTTTAATGAAGCCAAGTTCATCATCTTCAGCATGTTGGTCTTCTGCAGTGTGTGGGTGTCCTTTGTTCCAACATACCTGAGCGCAAAAGGACCTGCTCCCAAATGCTATATTATTGTGGTGAGGCCTGAACTGAACAACAGACAGCACCTAATGAAAAGAAAGTTTCAATCGTCTGAAGGGTTTACTTTGACCACCCAAACCCTGTCATCTATTGAAGAGACTCATGTACTCCAATGAAACAGGTGGATGGCTGAAGGAGGAGATGCCCTCAGTATGAGGGCCCAGTGTAGAATATTTGGTTTTCGCATGGATTTATTTGTTTATTTATAAAATATGTATGCCGTCCAATTACTAACATCTCTGGATGGCTAGCAGCATAAATGAATTGACGACCCACTCTGGCTGCAATTAATAAAATACAATAATGCAGTTCAATATTAAAACTTACTAAAATAGTGATTAAATAAAATGATCTTAACCTGGTGCTGAGAAACATATAATGATGGCACCAGGTGGACCTCTCTGGGGAGCGCATTCCATAGAGAGGGTGCCACTGAAGAGAAGGCCCTCCTCCGGGTACTCTGTCTCCTAATATATTTCACAGAGGGTTCCCAGAGGAGGGTTTCTGTTGCCAATCTCAGGGGGCAGGAAAGCAATTAGGGAAAAAGGTGTTTCTTTAGGTATCCTGGTCCCAAGCCATTAAAGGCTTTATAGATAATAACCAGCACCTTGAATTGCCAGCACCTTTTCCCAAAATGCTTCATCATTTTAGTGAGGCCTGAGCTAAATAGCAGGCAGAATCTCATGAAAAGAAAGTATTGACGTTCTGAAGGATTGTCTTTAACCACCCAAACTTGTCTCAATGGACACTTCTTGTCAGAAGAAGGACATATGAAGGATCTTTCCTGGTCATTGTGCTGTTGTTAGATTGACCTTTCTTGGGAAGATGCTTTTGTACAAGCAAGCACTTGTTATTTGCCTTCAATTTTATCTGAGAATGGGCTAAATTTAGATTTCTTTATTTTGCTGAATTTTCTTTTCTTTTAAACTATTGTCCTCTCCCATTTTATTTTACCCATGATTGGAAAATTGAGGTCTCAGTTTTTGCATAAATAGGTACCTTTTAAAAATCTATG